GCCAGCTCAGAGTCCTTGACATTTTTATCCTGGAACTATGGCAACATGGTTCGTGGTCAGAAATACACCACGCCAAAGTTTCTCCAAGGACTTGATCGTGCAATGAAGCCACGCAAGCAGAGTGCCATGTCACTTCAATATGAGCAGTTTGAAAACAACCGTTTCTTCAACATGCTCTTCTTTTTACGTGCACATGTCGTGATTCTCCAGGAAGCTCAGCTCCTTGTTCCTGCCAAGGAATTCATTGAGCAAAAGAATTGGTCAGTTTGTTTCAATGATTGGGAGAATCTAGCAGTGATGGCTAGATTGGCACCAGATGGCTATATCAAGATCATTGCTGGACATGACCAAGACCTTGGTCACTGTCAACAGCGTGATGTAACTTGGGCTATCTATGAGATTTGTTTTGGAGAAACAAGGCCTCGTCAGGACTTCAAGGATGCAGACTATGAATTTGAGGACTATGGTCCTAAGGAAAAGCGTGTTCCACTTACTCGAGCGAACATGCACACCATCAGAGTCTGTAATTATCATGTTGATACACATCGTGCTGTGGATGCCCACCTACTGACAGGAGAACAGACAGCATTGATGCTTTATGAATGTTTTGTATATGAGGTGGACATCATTTCTGGTGATGCAAATAGTTTGGCCTACAGAATGTCTGGATACAAAAGGCAGCCAATGGCTAACTATTATTACAGCACCATGCAGCATTGGATTCGCAAGTTTTCAGAAGCCCGTGTAAAAGCAGATCCGGGTATCAAAGCACCTATTCCCAGAACATCTTACAGTTAATCTTCACTTGTCCTCAAGCAGTGTGAAGATTACTTTGAGAAACTCTGGGAAGAATACTCTACAGAAGAGAAAGAAGTGTACCAAGGATCAAAGCTTGGCGATACATGTTTGTCTACCATTGTGGAATGGGGTCATTCAATGAGTGGAGAGGAATATGCAAATTCCACAGTGAGCACGAAGGAGTTCGTCTGTAATTTTTCAGAGAACTTTGCTTTGATTGACACGGAGGTCATGTGCTCTAAACCCTCTGACGATGACAGTCATGGTCCAATGTTTATTTCACTCAGACCAGCTTCCTTTTCATCTGGAGACAGAAGACTCTATCGCTCGGGCGAGACTCTTAGAGATGCTAACTTGCGGAGGAAGGAGAAACAGAAAGAGAATAAAAGGAAAGGAAGGCCGCCAACTTCTGGTCAAGCAGCTCCATCGACTGCAGCGGCATAACATTCAGAGCGGAGGCTAACTTTTAATGATAGCTTGGGAAGCGAAGATACTTCTGATCACAGTTGATACTTTGCTTCCAGGCTTGACTTTAAGTTGCCAGGCTGAAGTTTTAATGAATTCTGGTTTGCAACGAGGAGAAACTTTTTGTCAAAGAAGATACTCCTGCATTCCAGATTTATACGCTTTAGCATGCAGATAAATACAGTTTACTAAACGGTTATTATCTGCAGGTAGGTATGGACAGTTTTTCAGAACTGATGATAACTACCACAGTCGCTCTTTTGAAGTGACCTCTAATGAACAACCATTCATGGTTGAGGATTAAGTCATTTCATAAGTTTGCATTTGTAGTGCAATTTTTGTACATACATTTGCCGGTGTCTCCTTCCTTGTGTTTTTGATGTCGATGAGAAAGAGTCTTTTTGATGCAGTTTAATTTTGTGTAAGTCCTGTGTATGGAAGCGGCCGAGACCACTTTTAGAAAAGAACATTCCTCGGACCGAGAGTTGACGCTCCTTGCATTTTGCAAGGCATCTGAATTCGTTGCATTTTGTGCGGTCTTGAATTTTTAGTTCTTCGTTACGCGAGTGTCGTTTACTGCTTTTACAGGTCTCTGTGTAAGAAAGCCGCTTTCCTTTGAATTTAAGTTTCTTTGAAGCTCTGGCTATTTAAGGGCTATTGAGCGCCGGTAAATGGTATCTTCGCCGGTGAACGATACAGTCTCCAGCCGAGATACATTGTCTTTGACTTTGTATTTGAGGTGAGTCAGCTATTGCTCCCTCACTGTATTTAGTAGACCTAGAGATTACCTTTTCTCAAGTGTGAAACACACTGGAATTGGTAAGTACAGGGCACCGTGGTTTCCTTTTAAGCTTACTAGAGCTTGCTGGACTGTTTTAGCCTTACGGTAGAAAAATAGTGTGCGACATACGCAATAGGCAGGAGTGGACATGAATTTTGTGCCTGCTGAAATGTAGAGGCCTACTTGTACAGGTTCCACTCCAGTGGCCTATCTAGTGTGTCCATGCTTGACTGCCTCAAGGCTCAAGAAGACTAGAGGATAAGACTCTGCGCATAAAAGACACTAGCGGTCTGCACCTCAACCGTGTACGCCCTAGTCACTCTTTCACCCCCACCCCCCACCCCGCCTTCGAAGACCCCCTACTTCAACCCCCACGACCGCCCCGCCCACCCGTCCGGTGGAGGTCCGTCTTCGCCTCCGCCGATCGGACCAAAGATGCCACCCGCGCTCTTCGCGACCTCGCAGGGGTGGTAGTCCGGCATCGGCAGATCCTGGGAGCCGTGAGCCGGCATCTTGAAGCTCTTTTCGGGGGGGGAGTCATGATTCATGAGATTCATGCACGCCCTCTAAATTGGGTTTGCCCAGGCAATTACTTGCGCCAATTTCCATCTTGAAGTCTGGACTCGAACGTCACGCACACAACTTCCCCCTTCCGACCCCCTTCCGCCGTCCGGGACCCGAGTCGTGCTCCTGGGTGGAGGGCTCAGCCTCGAGCCTCGAGATCTCCGTCACAGTCTCATCCTCCTCGTTCTTGAAGGTCTCAGACACCTCATGCTTCGCCACGCGGTGGGTGTCTACACGAACGATCATACGATCTGACTTGGCTTTGGACGGACCGGGAAACCCCTGAACTAAACATGGGAGAACCTGATGTGACCTGGATGGCATGACACCGATTTTGGATGACCATGAAATCCGAATACCTACTTGCATGATTATGTCAAGTAGTGTGTAGTTGTTCCTTCTCGGGAGCCCTGGCAGATAAAATGTGAGATATGGCCCGCCACCTCACTGCGCCACTATGGACGTGAGGGTCCCAACAAACTGCAGATACCAACTCCCCAACAGGCACCCCCGATTAAGTACCTGTGGTACATGGCGGTACCACAGGTCCCACATGTATCACGCGCGCGCGACGTGGGGCGCGTGATCCGAAGCGGCGACCTAACTCGTCCACGCGGCTTCCTTCCAAAGGTTCTGATAGTCCAAACACTCCGCGGCATACTTGGGTTGTTCCGCCTTGAACACTTCCAACTTGGGCATGGGAGGCTGCCTCGGAACGAAGGGCGAGAACTCACTCACCCGGCGCAGGCGGAGAGTTCGCATAGTCTGGCTGTGGCTGAAGGTTGACAGCCGGATCTCAAGGAGGGAATCCATCCATCACAATCGCCTCCTGAACCTCTCAAAAAGATGTGTTTTCATCATTTTTCATCCCAGTCTTCTCGTTCTCCCAAAAACAGCTCCGAACTGCAACCCTTACTCCTGTGCCCTTACTCTCCTGCCGCGGTTCACCTCACCGAACTCGTTCCATCTGCACCGAACGAGACGTGTCCCCCGCTGACCGAGCTCGTCGTCTTCGTGTGTTGAACACGAAGAGCGTCTGACTCTCAGGACTCGAAGAGAAGGCAAAGCTACACCAAACGGAGGTCGAACTGAGTCGAACTGAAACAGATCAGCCATGATCAGCCATGGCTTTTTGTTGCCGTTTGGGTTTCTACTAGGCAGATGCCAATCTGGAGGCTGACATGGAGACGAGACTTGGAGACTTGGCGGGGTCACGTTGTCGGAGCGAGTCGGAGAAAGGCAAGAAGACGGTCACCGACTCTCCAGTCTTTGGGGATGGAAGAAACTTCTGAAAACTGTGTGCGCCATAGACATTCTACCAAAAAACGATGGAAAGCATAGACCCCAAACAGTTTCAGCATTATTTGTTTGGCGTCATCTCCTTGAATTCCATTGTTGAACCCTAAGAGAGAACCCCAACAGTGAACTGTTTGGGGAAAACACTGAAACATTAAACATGGATATGGCTCGAGACTCCAAAGCGGCGCAGGCTTCAAAGCTGCGAATCCTTCAACAGGTCTTCCAAGTGTGCTTGGGCTGGGGCCCTAGGTTTTTGAAGTTGTGACCTGTTCGAGGGTCCTGGTGTGCTCCAGTTTTGGATCACATGTAGATGAAGAGTGATGAAGTAAGGACTAGGACTAGGATGCAATAACTTTTACATCACCATGGGAGTCAAAGACTCGGAGCTTCCTTGCTTCCAGGGTCAGATCAATGACTTCCCCATCTTCCAAACGTCGCCCTTTGCAAAGGATCCGCGAAGTCCCACGGTTCTCCCCCCGCCCCTCTCTTCTCACAGACCGGTGACGGCGGGCGTTTGGGTGGTTTGAGCTTCAACACCTCTTCCAGCGAGAGTTTCTTCACCCCATCTCCTGTGCATCGTTTGGGAGCCGATTCTGGAGAGATTGGAGAGTCTCTGATTCAAGAGGCTTGAAGAAAACACATTTCTCTCTAGAGAATCTCATCGTGCGAAAGAAAAATCCGTTGTCGAGAGCAAATTTGTTCGTTCCAATGTTTTTCATTCCCCAAACACCTCCTGAATCGACACAGTCCGCCCAAATTACCCACCAGTTTATTTCGGGCAGCCCTACTTCCTCCATCCCGGCTTGACTTCCTTATTATGCTTTCCGCAAAAGCACATACGTCCCCTCCCGACATCAACCAACGACACGTAGACCGAAATCCTTCTCCAGGGGATCCAGTTACCACTATAGCTGGTAAGGCTGACTGTAAGGCTGGTAAGCAGTGGTTCCAAAAACTAAAACCGACCAAACGAGGGCCCTGGTTCTTTATATAGTAACTGGGATCCACTGGGTGTGTGTTTGAAGAAGAACACCCAGCCTGGCACCCCGGCACCCAAAAACTCCCCATCGAAGTCCGAGACGTTCACCTCGGTGGGTGGTGCGCAACAACGACCGAGGGAGCTACACGACGCGAACGAACGCGAAACCAAACGCCGGAGCTCCTCGTCCAAGCAAACTTGGTTGAGCTAACAGGACCGAAAATTACCAAACGCCCTCCCAAAGTGCCATCCAAAAAGGATCGATGAGCCATCCAAAAAGGGGAGTGATATAGGCCCGGCTGACCCGGTTGAACAGGGTTGACCCAGTTGACCCGGTTGAATCCAGTTGACTAGTGGTAGTGATAGTGGCAGTGGCAGTGGCAGTGGTAGTCGTAGTAGCAGTAGTAGTAGTAGTCGTCGTCGTCGTGGTGGTAGTAGTAGTAGTCGTCGTAGTGGTAGTAGTAGTAGTAGTAGTAGTAGTGGTAGTAGTAGTAGTTGTTGTTGTAGTAGTAGTAGTACTGGGTTTAGTAGTAGTAGTAGTAGTCGTCGTCGTCGTCGTCGTGGTGGTGGTAGTGGTAGTGGTAGTGGTAGTAGTGGTGGTAGTAGTGGTGGTAGTAGTGGTGGTAGT